TTTTCAACTTTTCAAACTCAGAAATTTCCAAGTTTTCTGTAGTTGTTTTAGCAAATCCTTGCCTTTTCAGAAGTCTGAAGTCTCTTTTTCTACAATATTTCTGAGATTAATCTCAGAAATATTAAGGCCAAAAAAGAAATTGGAAAATTCTGAATTTTCCAATTTCTTTTTTTTATTATTATTTCTGAGTTTGTTCTCAAAAATTCAAATTAATTTTTTAGCAAATTTTTGACTTTTTAAACTTTTTTTCTAGAAAATGTCTGAGTTTTCTCAAAATTTCTGAGTTTTTTGATGGAAATTTATTCCTTTTTTCCATCTATTTTGGCCCCAATTTGCTATCATACTTCTGACCCTTGCAGCTCTCTAACCACAGTTTGTTTCCAGTTACAGTTCCTGTTTCTGCCTTCTCATTTCCTCTTCCTCAGGTCGTTTTGAGGCACAGCTACGTCCTAACCCTGAGCACCACGGACATCAACCGGGTCACCATCATCCCCCAAACGGTAAAAACCAGAAACTGCCCGGCGATGTCTCCGTCTCCCTCCGGGGACGCCAGCTCTGAGGACGAAGATGGCGATGAGGAGGCTGCAGTGAAGCTGTACATGAACAGAAAAGGAGAACTTTCCACAGGCGGCGGTTCTGCTGACAGCAGTGGGAAAGTCGACGTGATGAAGGGTGACTTCATGGAGGTGGAGTCCAACCAGTATGAGGCCAAAGCAGAAACTCTTTTTATTTATGATAAAGATCAATCTGGAATGGAGGACTCCACAACTCAGCAGGAGGAAGTCAAAATGGAGACTCTGGAGTTCTCTGGAGACGTCAACCTGTTCTCCGTCACCCTCGCCTCAATAGCTGCTTGTGATGAAGACGAGGTAGAGGAGGATCAGGACTCTGGAAGCTCTTCCATGGACTTCCTGAGGACTTACACCCTGAAACCTCTGAGCCAGATGGACTCTGAAAGCAAACGGGATGATGGGATGCGTCCTTCAGAGTCGGGACAAGATGGCAGCTGCACAGAGTCCTGGATAGACGAGGAGGAAGAAGAGGAGGAGGAGGAAGAGTTCTCTGGATATCTGACAAATAAATGAAATGTTTTCTCACACTGGAGTACTGTACGTTAAAACAGCATGTCCATTTCTGATTCTGCGACTCTGTGTGAACCAGTAGATGGAATAATCACCCACACGGCAAAAACACAAAATATTAACAAGTATTTTTATTTAGTTTCTACTGCAAATATCACTTAAAATAAGACAAAATTAACTTAAAAGTAACTTTTCAGCAATAGGAGCTTGTTTTAGGTCAATAATTCATTAATATTGACGAAAAAGTACTGGTTCCAGTATGTTCACTTATTTCACAATCAATAGGCGCTGCACCGTTACCTAGCAACCCCCGCCAAGCCCAGCCTGTCGCCTAGCAACCCAGCTCTATTTCTACTAGCAGAATATTTGACTTATAACAAAATGGTTTTCCCTTGTTATAAGTGAAGTAATCTGCCAGTACTTTTTATCAATATTAAGGAATCATTATTATAAAACAAGCTCCTATGTTTTTCTGAAAAGTTACTAATAGGTTACTTTTGTCTTATTTTAAGTGTACCAAGATATTTCCACTATAAACTAGACATAAATACTTGGTAAGATTTTGTGTTTTTGCAGTGTGGATGATTATTCCATTTCTCGGTTCACACACAGAATTGTAGAATCAGAAATGGACCTGTTGTTCTTCTTCAGCAGGTCCATGCGGGTTGCTTTGGAGTCACACAGAAGTCTGACTTTTGTCCCATTTAATTAATAGTTTGAATGACAAAAAAATTAGTTTCATTAATTTGAGCATCAAAACCTGCTGAGTAAATGTAGTCTTAAAATTTCTCAATTTTTCTCCAAAACTACTTCAGTAAGAAGACGTTTACTACAGGTAACACACTGACTCCTGTCAATTACTCCGCATAACCCTGTCCCGATAATGTCGATGTGACATCGTCTCCAGTTTTTAAACTCAGACCTACTGCAATCACCTATAATCGTAAAGCTCTCTTCACATTCTCACTGTCTGCAGTCAGTTTGTCAGATCTGTCCAGTTATTTAATCCAACCCTAACGGTATCGGTGCTCAAAGTTGTTACCGTCTGTATTTTTGGTTTTTCTGCAGCAACATTTCATGTTTTTTTGTGATTGTTCATATTTCAGTTCCAGTTGGTTCATGCTGGGTCAAAATGAGACCAGACTAGTGCCTCAGAACAAAGACAAATGTTTATCTGCTTCACCTGTTTTAAAGGTGAAAACAACAAAATAAAAATCTGTTAAAAGTTTTCACTGCGCCTCCTGTGTGATCTTTTTGTTTTCTGATATTTTCTGATTAAAAAAAGCAATCTTTCTGAATCTGGACATTATGTTTCAGAATGAGGTAGACTTTAACTCTTAGATGTCAACATCACAGTGGACTGTTTTCCATTCACCAGAAACTAAACCAAAAGGAAAAGTGTTCTGGGATTAGGTCATTTTTTCACAAGTGTTACTTATGGCCAACCATATAAAATCTAAACACTTTAGCACTGCAAAAATAAAATATTACTAAGTATCTTTGGTCTAGTTTCTAGTACTTTAGAAATAATACAATTAATTTATAAGTAACTTTTCCACAAGATATAGGAGCTTGTTTTAAATCAATAATCCCTTAATACTGATGACAAAGTATTAGTTCCACTGGCAGATTATTTCTTATAACGTGGAAAAATATCTTATCTAAATAAAACAATCTGCCAGTGGAACTTGAACTTATTCATTAATGTTAAGGAATTATTGACTTCAAAGTTCCTCCATGTTGCTGAGAGGTTTTTGTTAGTTTTGTCTAATTTTAAGTGTATTAATTTGCACTAGAAACTGCACAAAACCATGTTAATTTGAGATTTTTTTTATGCACATCTTTTTTTTACTGTATCAAAAAAAATTGACATTCCTCTTTCCTGCGATGTTTTCCAGCTCCGCTTGGGAAGTATTTAGATAGACAGATCTATCTATTCAGCTAGCTAGAGCGTATCGAGCTAGCTAGCTACTAGTTACGTAAGTTAGCAACACATTTATCAAAAAAAAACATGGTATATTAATACGTTATAATTTTTTGCAACAAGCAGGTAGAATATGTCTTGTATCAACTCTTCTCCTTCCTGATTATTCCCAGATGAACTATTTTATCTTGAGGAGTTTCTTTATTATTCCAGATGACTCACATGATACATCAGCATTTATTTTATTATCAATTCAACAGAAATTAAATCAAAAGTAAAAGTGAGAGAACTAAGTGGGGGCAGTAAAACATAATCACAATTCAAATGTTCTGGCTTTTAAAAAGTGAGTCTCACTGCATAAAACCTGCTGGGTGAAAAGTCTGAAAAGGATTTAATAATAAAAATAATAAAACTGATTGTAATATATGGATTCCGCGACAGTGTATTAGGCTGACTGTAGATAGAAAGAAGTTGAGAGAAGTAGATTTCCTCCAAACAAAAAACTCAGGAATGTTTAGATTAATCTTAGAAATTTTCAAGAAAAGACTTGAAAATTTCTGTGTATGAACATTTGCGAGAACATTTCAGACATTTTGAGATTAATCTCAGGAATATTTCAGGGGGAAAAAAAGGAAATTTCTGAGATTCAAAAGTCAAAAGTTTTCTTTTGAATCTCTTTCTAGATCAATCAGAAATTTTCTGGAAAAAAATGGAATCTTCAAAAGT